GGATATTGACAAAGAGCAACAATGTTACTGACATAGAAAGAGTATGAATTACACACCACATAAAAAAAAAAAAATAGCAGAAGAATACCAAATAAATTATATTCAGCACTAAAATATTGGATCTATAGCACTTATAGTCCAAAACTATGCAGAAAAGGAAGGTGTCCTTTCACTGTCTGTTTGATTATGCAAATAGCCAGGTTATAGTGCTATAATTCTTTTTGTCTAAGCATTATATACAAATACATGTATATGTATTGAAATTACATATTACTTAGATCAAAGATCTCTCACACATTAGCTCTGATAGTTACCAATCAATGTTTTTCCGCTTCACTTTTTTTTTGTTTCATTGTTTTTCCCTCATTGTTTCTCCTACAGTTTGACTGCTTCTTTTTTAAGGCTACAATCTACATTATATTTTCAGTAGTAAACCACCTAGGCAGCAGTATAATGCACCTTCTGTTCCTAAAAATATGCCATTGTGAAAATGCTGTCTGTCTTCAGGATGAGGTGTGCTGGAGGAGGAAGGGAGGAGTTTCTTTTTTCATTTTAGTCATGAATATACACTAAAATTGTGACATACTGGTTGTACAAATTGAACTACTCTTTCTTCTGTGTGTGTGTTGTTTTTTGTTTGTTTGTTTTTGCTATGCTGTGTTTCCAGGATATAGTTGCATTTTTTGAAAAGCATTTTTGTGAATAGCTCTTTCTTCATAGATACTCTCCCAAGATCAGGGAATGCAGAATGACAAGTTGTCCTACCGTCTTAAGATGTAGAGCTTAGCGATATGGTTTAGTAGAAGACTGTTAGTATTAGGTCAGAGGTTGGACTTGATGATCTTGAGGTCTCTTCCAACCTAGAAATTCTGTGATTCTGTGTGATTTTGTGACTAGATTATCCTCAGTAAAGAATTATAATTCAGTGTGTCTGTTTCTTCCCCCTTTTCCAGTAAGGCAATACTGTATGATTCATCCTACTCCAATGTCAACAGATGTGGAATGAAGCCAGAACTCTTTTTCTTTCTTGTCCCTGATTTTTAAGAATTAAAGAATGGAGGATGATAAGTAGATGTTTGAACAGTAGTGTTCAGCCCCAAGTTGTGCATTTTCCTTATACACTGGTACTGCTTTTTCTCCTATTTTGTTGTGTGAGAATATATACAAGCCCCTGTTTGGTCCTCTCAAATCAGCGGAACTTCTTTCAGAATAAAGTTGAGTAGTGCTGGCAGAAACAGGTTACGTTTTCAAATACCAGTCTGAGAATAATTTTTAATTATCCAATTACAACGTAACTAAAAGGAAATCTAAAATTGGAAGAAGGAATTCAGGCAAAAGGAAGGAACTAGACAAACATATTGAATCTTATGTTTGGCAGATCAAGTTCTGAAGTTTATTTTAGAAGTAGTCCTGTCCAGAAGTTCAAATGATTAATCCTTTGAGATGCATAAATATTTTAGGAAGTATCAAAGATATTGTCTGTCTAATTCCCAAATCCTAAAAGACAAGTAGAAGAGTTATAATCCATCCAGGCTGCATTCATTTTGGTTTTGACTCTGGGGCTGTGAATTTCATTTTCTCACTTCTTCCAAAAATTTAAAATAGAATTATTTTAATAAATAAATAAACAAGATATTGCTATTAGCTGAAAATTCCTAATGACGTTCAGAACTAATATGCATTCAGACAATAAGTTTTTACATAAGGCCATAAATATTTAATATATTAATATATTTAATATATTACATATTATACATAACATAATAATATACATAATAAATATAACAATGCATTATACTATGTATGATAAATGTTAATTGTAATAAATTATAATATTAATTAATAATATTAACACGATAATTTGACATTAACTAATTTAATTATATAATAATATTAATGTAATGTTAATATATTTAATATAATACATAAAATATGTACATAATTTGTTGAGTTATGTTGGCAGACAGAAAGTAGACAAAGGTTTAAGAAGCTGTCAATTTATCTTCCTGGCAGACAATGCTATTTCATGTTTTCACATTTACAGAGATTTATGCTGAAAAATTAGAATAACTCAGAAAATAGGTTGCATATCTCACAAGACAGTATTTCCATTGAGGAATGTGGGCACTTTTTAGACTTAATCCTAAGCTTACAGAGAAAATTTGAAATGTCCTATATAACAGTAAAGAACATAAAAGCAAGGTCCCAGGTGGTTCTCAGTAATTAATACAAACATCAAAAAATGGCATAGCATGAAAGGATTTCCTTCTCTGTTTTTTCTTTCAGCTCCTCACAAGTTATATGTAAGTTTTATTGCCTTAAACTCAAAGAGCTGTGGCGGGTTTACCCTGCTGGGCAGCTGAACTCCACCACAACCGCTCACTTCCCCTCCTCAAAGGAAAAAAAGGGTATAAATGTAGGTAATTTCTCTTGAGGTCACCTTGACTGCATTTTCCTCTTATTGTTGCTGAATTTACTCTATATTCTACAAAATATTTCACAAGTGGGTGTTCTTACAGCCTTTCTCAACAACAAGTTATGTGTATATGATGCTGGCTAATATTAGAGTACCAGTAACTATCACTCATCACACAACATAACTCATCATAATACACTACAATGAACATTATTTAAAACAGTGAATTCTGGAAATAGAATAATGGGGAAAATGCCTCGTATCCCATATTTATACCGGTAATAGAACATTCTGTAAAACTAGTAATGAAACGCAAGAATTGTTCTCTTAGCATTGATACCTTCTAAGTAGATATTATTAAAAATAGATATTCTTACGACATCAAATTATCCATTGACCAAATATCAGTCATTATAATAAGGATGAAGTGGCTATTTTGCTGGCTTTAAAAGTAGTTTGGCAGGAAAAGCCATTCTGTCACATAAATTTGGACTGTGGCAAATTTTAACTGAATTGTTCTGTCCAGATATAGAAACAATCATATCCAAAAATGGATGGGTATCCAAAATATTTCATGTCATGAATAGCAAGACTGTGACTGAGGTGTCTCTCCTCCTTCATGTTTGAATTTACATTACATTAGAGAAAGCAGTGAGGTAAGAGAACATCATATAAGACTATTCATTCCTAAGGAGGAATTCAAAGTATATAAATACAGGGCTGAGTTGCCCTGACAAATTAGGATAAACTGAATGAAGTTACTTAAATGCTCACTCTCAAATTATTTCTTTTTTTAACAAAATGTATCATGGGAGCATGTTTTTCAATAGGGAGAGTGTTTTTCAATACTCAGCTCAACCAATCAGTGAGAGATGTGGTCTGAATTCAAGTGCTGACCCTGCACAAAAGTGATGTTGGTCTGGATCTCCTCAGGTTCCTTCCAACCAGTTATTCCATGACTTCATTATTCTTCACAGAAAATTTAAAAATTAAAAACAACTGATACCACAGGTCCAGTTCTGAATGTCAGTCACAAACCTTTGGCTTTAAAAAGCTTTAGGACAGTTGAATGTAAGGAGCAGACAGTCTTCTGATAAAAGCAGTTGTCTTGGCTGAGGTCTTAAGGACAGAGAGGCGAGAGCTAGATTTAGGATTACTTGTAGAAAGAAACCAGAACACTATAGGTGAGTTAGAACACTATAGGTGAGTTGTGTGATACCTAAGCCCCTCAGACTAATTTTTTTTCAGCAAATCTACAGTTTGAGAGTACACAGGTACCTAAGAGTGCACATGGAACAAAATGTAGCAGTACTTATGTTATTTTTATTAACTTTACTCCATTTTATACAGTTTGTATTCTCAGTTTATATGATTTTCCTGGGATTATACAAAAAGGCTTCTAGAAAACAAACAAACAAACAAACAAACAAACAAAAACTTCCTCCTTGACTTCTCTAGTATCTCTAAATTCTAAATCTTAACTAATATAAGCCTGCCTCTTTAATGTGATGAGTGAATCTCATGATTCCAGGAAGAAAAAATTATAAGCTCAGACCTTCTTAAATGTCTTGTCAGTTATGTATATTATTTTATAGTGACCCATTCTAATTTTGTACATCACAGTGCTTCTGTGTAACACTGAAGGTTTGAGATTGTTTCAAGTGGGGAAGCCAAAACACAGTTATCTTTATGTTATTTTTAAAATATGTATCTTGGCAATAAATCATTATTTCTGAGACCAAACCCTGATGTAGGTAGAAAATACGGATGCTTATTTTAATTTCCTGAACTAAATATCTGAAGCATTGGTTTAGCTCTTCTTATTTACTTGAAGAATGATACTATAGCTGGTTATATAACCAGAAGGAAGAGTATTTTTAATGAAGAATCACTAAATGGTAGATCTTAGCTCTCCAATGTTGTCTGCTTCCTTTTAACTAAATACAGAGGCCAAGTTTTTAATTTTTGTTTTATTAATGCATAACTGTTATGGTGCTTTTTAAGTTCTTCCCCAGATAATACAAGCCTGCAAAAATAGCAAGTAGGCTAGGTAAATAACTGGGACATCCAAGATTCCATCTACTCATACAAACTATATGACTGCATGTCAGGGTTTACCTCCTGCTGCCTGTGACTACAAGAGCTCTAAAGGTGACTACAAGAGCTCTAAAGCTTCCATTATTATTCACTAAATTCATAAGGAAAACTTAGGAGACATGTTATGTAACTGACTACACTGCAGTGTTTTTTTTTTTTTTTTTGGTGTTGCTGTTTTTTGTGAATGCTTAATGGCAGTTTGTGATTTGTTGTGTACTCAATCTTGAAATGCAAATATAATGAAAGGAGAACATGAGTTATTATGTTGGTCTGCTGAAAGGTTTCTGACCCTGTTAATCAAATTATTTTATTCAAAGACTTGAAAGCCACTGTTTATTTATTTTATATTTTATATTTTATTTTATTTTATTTTATTTTATTTTATTTTATTTTATTTTATTTTATTTTATTTTATTTTATTTTATTTTATTTTATTTTATTTGTTCCGTTGTTATTTTTAAATTTTTGTTGCTGTTGTTTTAATCAGGTTGATATGAAGATAACAGTCTGGAGAAGGGAAGTGGTGGAATACTACCACCAAATGCGTGAGCAATGAGCAGTTTCAACTTGGTAAGTTTCTGTTAATTTTTTCACTTGTGACCATTCTTCCATAAGTGATCTCATTCATATTTGCTGTAACATCTCAGATGGTGCTCGTTGTTATTCTTGTTGTCTGTGTTAACTTTATAAACTTTGCCTTCTGTGTTAAAGTACTCAATATGTCATGACCTGTTTGTCATGTACCCAAGTATTTTCAGTCCCCAGCCACAGAAATTATTTTCTAATTATTCAAATATGTTCAAAATTTTGGCCTCTTGTGCCAGGACTAGATGCTGAAATGTTGAAAATTTTGTAAGCTGAAGGGTCTGCTTTTAAAATGTTGGTGTTTGTTTTATTCTAATTTTCAGGGTTTTGTTGTTGTTGTTGTTGTTGTTTTTATCAAGAAAATCATAAACTTGAATTTTAAAAATACTGTTCTAGAATTTCAAAATACACTTTTAAAACATTTATTTATCTTACTCTTATGCTGAAGAATGTTTGATTCAGGTGATTTGCTGTTTTATGAAAGAGCAGTCTGTGCTATTTCTTGCAGGTGGAAAAATAGAAGCATTTATAGAGAATAGCCTCCAACCTCCCTCAGAAAGTATAACTAGCCCTAGTAGTGTTTATAAACTAGCATATCAGTAACAAACACAACCTTCAGCTAATAAAGTACAGTGCTGAGTAGTTGTAAGGTAGTTTTATAAATTCAAAAATAATTCAGATGAGCTGCAGCATTTAATAGTGCATCAATTTCAAATTTTTAACCTGAAAATATGAAAATATCACTGGAACCTGTCAAAACTTAAGGCCATAATCTGTATGATTTACAAAGATACTAATGTTGTCAGCAAAGAAATATGTAATAAGGAGTTGTACTTCTGTCAAGGTAGGTCCTATCTGATCCCTATTTACATGTATAGGTGTATGCATACTCAATTATATATCAGTATTTATAGAGCTTCTACTGATAAATGGACTATCTATATCTTTTGTTTAAAAGAAATTGTTTTTTTTTTTTTGTTTCTTTTTTTTTGTTTCTTTTTTAATTTGACTATTGTATCAGTAGTGACAATTCATCAACAGTGCTTCACCACTGTACTGGGTTTGAAAACGTACCAAATAATAATGTAGGTATAAGAAAAGCTCTCCAAAAATTAAGTTCCTTGTGCTCACTGGTAGGAGGTAGAGTCATCAAAATCTTAATAGTAGAGAAACACAAGAAATATAGCTGTATCCTTTATGAAGGAGATTTATTTTCTTATTATGGGAACTTAGTTGAACTGTTTGATCTGTCCAAGCTAAACAGCGAGTCCACTAATATTTTAATAACTATGCTGACTCAATCCCCCTCTTGTCCTTATAAAACCAGTCACTGTCACTTCTCTTTATGAAGCACCATGAATCTTTTCTTGCTGGGTCCCTAAAATCCCACTTGCACTGCATACAGGTATTTACATATTGTCTCCTTAGAGATTTGCAAGGAAGATGACAATTCTGGTATTCAGTTCTTGTGCATAAAAGGAGATGGTCTTGTTGGGGCATTTTTATTGTACCCCTTGAGATGAGTTAAATACACATCTGTGCTTAAATACAAAGAGGACTAACCTCTAATGACTAATGCATTGTGCAGAGTCCTATGAGGTGTCTGCAGAGATATGTCATGCCCTGGCCCCTTACACATACTTGCCCCATCATCAATTCCATGAGCACCTAAGCCCCCTGCTGGGTTCATCCCCAGTCCCACTGCTCAGGGGTGGTCCCTGAGCAATCACATTGCACCACTGCTACAACACAAAGGCCCAGCACTGTCTTATCTCCTCAGCAAGGGAAACCTCACTCCCTGACATGGAGTCCTTCTGTCTCTGATGTCCCTGCTCCCCCAGTTTAACCCCTTCTGCAACCAGACTTTCTTGCCCTCTGTGCTAGATCATTCCTTGGTCAGAAATTACCACTGCTGAGCAATTACAGCTTTATTTTGCCCCATGGTCTACTATGTGGAGAAAAAAAAATAATAATAATTTTAAAAGTGCATTTTTTTTTTTTGGTTGGTTGCATTTATTTTGCTCTGTTTCTGCAGGTTTAGGAGTGATTTTTGCTCTAGAGCTTAGACTTGCCTTGGCACTTAATAGGCAGTAATAGGCACTAATTTCTTGCCTTAACATCAGCACTTCATGTGCCTATGCTATGTTTCAAATAAAATGAAAGGGGTATTAGTTTTTCAGATAAATCTTCTTTATTTTAGACAATTTGCAGTTTTTAAGATTTCAGTAGCAAAGTGGAAATGGTATATCACAGGAAGGTTATAGCATATGCAGAAAAAAAAGAAAAAAAGTGAGTTGTGCTCACTTGAAAAACAACCGGTGATTCTTATGCACTTGTGACTTATTTTCCTATTGACAGTTGTGGGCATTACTGCATATTTGCAAACTGTCACCTCCCTGGTTCACTGAAATTCAGTCACTTACCTTGTCTTTGCTTTTGTGTTCAGAGTGTTGGGCTCGTGAACCCTACAGCCTCATTTCAGAGTGGAGTGCAACTCCATGTGGATGCAACTCACATGAGTGGAGTGAATTTAAGTGCCCTTTCATTGCTTATTGGATTACATGTCATGAATTGGATTGCATGTCATCTACCTCATTCACACCATTTCTTATTTGTATAACAGTCATGTCATACAGTTTTTCATCTCTTACTGCTATCAAGCCCACCAATCTTGCATTTGTACAAGACAGAATATGAGACGTGAAGAATCATCTTTGGACCAGGGAATTTTGTTGTTATACCCACTGACGGGCATGGTGCCACTGCTCTAGGTCCACCAGTTCAGTATGGGTAAGACCACACCGGGAGTACATTGTCCAATTTTGGGATCTCCAGTAAAGAACAGACACTGACATCCTGGAGTTTGTTCAAGGGAGGCCATGGAGACAGACAGGGGACTGGAGCACCAAGCACATGAGAGAAGCCGAGGAAGAGAAGATATTGTTTTTGACAACTACCAGATAGGAGGACAGAGAGAAGACAGACTCTTCTCAGATATGCACAATAGTAGGGCAAGAGGTGACTGGTACAAGTGGAATTGTGGAAAATTCTTGCTAACTATAAGGAGTTTGTTTTTTTTTTTTTTGCATGCTTGTCTGCTTTTCTTAAGCATAAGTTGATCAGATACTGGAGCAGTTTGTCCAGAGATACTGTGACATCTCCATTCTTGGAGATGTTAAAGACTAAACTGGGCACAATCTTGAGCATCTTGATCTCAATAGACGTGTGTTTAGAAGTCAGTTGGACTACCTGACCTCCAGTAGTCCCTCCATTTCTAAGTTATCCTGTGGGTTTGTGATACTGTAGTTAGCATTGTTCCCAAAAAGTAGGGAAAAGCAAACAAAGCCTTCTGAACTATTTTGCTCAACCATTTTTACTAACTTTAAGCAATTAATTGTGAAAATGTTGACTAAACCAACATGAAAGGTGTCTTTTCCTAATTCTTGTTACAGTAATTAGAATATTAAAATCTTACAGATTTTGGACAATGTACAGATATGGGATAGATTAATGCGCTTCCAGTAGACATCTTAGATATTTGTAATGGCAAACATTTCTAATACACATCTACCCACCCTTCTTATTGAGAAAAAAATAAATAAATAATAAAATAAAATAAAATATATATATATATATATATGGATTCCTGGTTGCCAACATGAGCTAGCCAAATCTAATCGTGTAAAGATTTTGAAAGTAATCAACTTTTTTTGACTTTCCAATGTGGAGAGTTGGATGAAGATATGGTTTTCTTCAGTGTTGGTGGCAGGTAAGACAGAAAGGAATTAGGAGAGATGTGAAATGTTTGGAGCAAAGTAGGCATTCCATATAATTTACAAGGCTATATTATCATTGGTAAAAGATCTTATTTAAATGCACCTGGTTTAGGTGGATTGTTTTTCATGTGAACATAGCATGACTTGCCATAGCATGACCTTTTATTTCTGCCTGGCATAATGTGCAGTTCTTAGATTTGCTATTCCCAGGGCACATTTTCTATGTAAGCTAGAGACATTTACACATAGAATAAAGTCATGCTATGATACTTCTGCAGTTTTTAATGCATATTAAGCGGCTTTTCTAGATATACCCATGTCTGGAGACCTTTTCAGGGTGATGGCGCAGGGTTGAATAATATCATTTCCATTTTCTAGAGCAGTGTTCTGCAAACTTTCTTTTTTTTTTTTTTTTAATCATGCAGCACTATCAATATATATATATGTGTATGTATTTAGCATGTATACCCAATATCTGTATGCTTATTTAATTACAAATTATACATATGTATTACTGAAGTTATAATATTTTCTTCCTGTATTCAGCAGATTGTCTTGCATACCCTGTGGTGTGCATGCACACACCCACTTCAGAGACCACTGTGCAAGAGGAGGTTTGAAAATATAGTCAGAGTAGACAAGTCATATTTACCACTGTTTGGGTGCACTACCTATGTGAGTATTGGAGAATACTATATCACTTTTGTAACTTCCAGGATGCTTCAGAAAGTTACTGCTTTCGGTTGCAGCTTCTAATAACATCTGCTGCACTGTATTATAATATCATTCCTTATTTTGTGGAAGGCCAAAGTGCTGTAATAGTTCAGTCCATGTACTGTGCATGCATACATAATATATTGTTGTTCATCACTGAGGGTGAGGATCACTGTAGTTCAGTAAAGATATGAAAAAAGCAAAGTAATACACCTATCTTCAACTCTTTGTTGTTATTTGTTGTTTGATGTCCTTTTACTCTGTAGGAAGTCCATCTGAATCTGCTCAGATAGTTGTTTCTTTGAGGGCAGGATTGCTTAAAAACAGAACATTAGAACACTGTAATGCTAAATATGTCATCCAAATTTATTATGGTAGTTTTGTATGGTCTCTTACGAGTGACCACGTTATGGTGGATTTTCTTAAGACAGGCAAGAAGTGTTATCATTCTACCAAGTACTATGCAACAAATGTTTCATTTGCCATTTAGGATTG